AAAATTGTTTTTTCTGCATTTCTTAGAAAACAGGAAAAATGCTTTCTAGGCTTGAATTAATGTTTTAGTGATAATGCTATTATTTTATCTCTTCTATTAAAAAATGGTAGGGATAAAAATTGTATAAAGAAAGTAGATAATGTACTATAAGCAGCGTATGTCTTCTGAATGGTATAGGACTTGGGTCCTAATAGGTAACTTTGATCTATATGACTGATGAAAATCACTTTTACCTGATTTGCAGAAGAAAGCTTGGGCACAAAGAATCAGAATGACCAACTCAAAGTGATTAACTCTAATTACAGATTTGATTCTGTAATTTAAAGAATTCCTTTACTGTATTTGTAACTGTGAGTGTGACTCCACAGAGAATTAGATTTTTGCATAAAAAGAAGGTAACTTTTTTATGGCTTCCTACTTATAGATATATAATATTTTAACATATTAACTCTGGCAGACTAGAACATTTTACTTCTTAGCAAATAGGCAGACTATGCTGGCTGTCCAAAGATCACTAAGCAAATGCCCTTTCTAAGAAGTTCCCTCCCTTGTTCTGAGAGCGGAACTGCTTCTGGGAATGTGCTAGATAAGAGAAATGACGTGCTGCAAACACAGTCTAATCTTTGGGTCCACGCTCACAGTTTCACAGTTAACATTCGGTGGTTATTTCAAGCACTCTTAATATACACAGCTCAGGATTTATTTAGGTCACTATAGATAGATGCTTTGTTTCACGGTCTTTCCCTTAGAAAGAAAAGTCATGTGTTTTGATGTTAAGTCTAGGTTTGACTTCTACCATTGTAAGTTACCTGGCCTTAGTTTTCTCATTTATAGAATGAGGGTGCTGTACAGACTTATTGATAAATATAGGCCTGCTACAGAATAAATTGTCAGGAACTATTCTTTCCTCTGTTTTATCATTTTGTTCACTGCACTTACATAGAAGAAAGACCAGAGACTGAATAATGAAACCATCCACTTGGAGTAATACATTTATTTGCACTGTTCTTCCACAGTTTTTGTTCTTATTTTAGACGTAACTATTCCATGCCAGTTTGCTTTATTATAGATAAAGCAAGTTACTTCTCGCGACATTTGAAAAAATGAAATCTTTGCTGATTGTCTTTTCAGTGAAGCTACATGTTCTTGGTTATGACCACTTGCTGAAGAATAAGGACACCTGGGAAGAAAAGCAGCCATTAGGAGTCAGTGGGGGTAAATTAGGATGGCATGAAAAGCCACACTACCTATTGTAACATAGTTACTTTTAAGTGGCTTCTGCTTTTTCTGTGACTAGAACTACAATTAGCTTTTTTTTGTACGTTAAATTCAGGGCAAAGCATTTAGCTTGATAATTCTTATCTTTCCACAGTCCTATATTTTTGTTCATTGCTTCTGTGTCAACTTGTTGATAAATGCTAATCAAGATTTTTCCCCCGGAAAGACTTTGTCCATAATTGGAAATTACCCTTTGTATTTATTTTGCACTTCTAGTTTATAATAGTAACTTGAACAAGAAGATTCTGGGCTCTTCATTTTCTCCATATTTCTGGCAATAATTATGGGACTTGGTTTAACGGACTTAAGTTTGAGTGTGCATGTGTGCGTGTGTGTGTGCGTGTGTGTGTATCGTGCACCACCCCCTAATCCAAAACACATGGTTTATTCTTACAGTACATTTATTCAGACATTGCATTTAAGGGTATCTAGTTGTATAACAGGTAATTAAACTATATGAACAGATTGCAAAAGAAACATAATATTTCCTTGAGTAGCTTAAAATTTGAAACGTATTAAACATCAAAATATGATATGGTAGATGTAGTAATAAAATAAATCAAAGTATAAATCAACACTAGATGAAGAAAAGTTGAAGGGAGAAATAATTCTGCTTCGTTTATCAGTTGTAAGTTTAAGGAAAGTGAATCTCTGGGCTGAACACCACAGAAAACATTACCTTTGGGAACTATACTGAGGACAACAGTATTAGTATCATTAAAAATCTGGCTATTTAAGTGGTGGTTCCCAAAACATAAGTTTCTATCAGAATCACCCAGAGGTGATATTAAGATATATTAACTCTCCTTGTTCTGGGAGTATCTAATTCTGGGGCAGCTCCAGATATATCCATTTCTAGCAAGTTCTCAGGTAGTGTTGCTGCATCTGGTTAAAAGGAACTTCACTTTTAAAACTAGTTTCTCTAAATTCAAAGAATTTTAATGGTTTCCTAATACAAGCCATTAGTTTTTGAAATCAGATTACTTTCATCTTTAATGACTGTCAGAATGTATTTGAGCTCTTATGTATTAGGCATTGTTACTTCCTCAATAAGCTTAATCTAATAGAATCAACCATATTAATAGAATAGTAAAAATAATCACTACCTTGTATTGATCATTCATTGTGCCAGAGCTATGCCAGATAGTATTTAAACTCATTTACTCCTCAGAGGATTAGAACATACAATGCTTATTTGAGGTGAAAAAAAAAATAAATAAGGTATAGAAACTAATTTCCCAGGATTCACAGTGAATATATTGAGGAGCTACAATTTGCTGTATTGTTCTAGTACCTTCTACACTATCTAAAATTAAAAGTATGCATATTCCAGGACCAGAGTGGGGATAGAATAATTGACTTTACTCTAGGACAGACCACAAAAGAGATGGCCCTGGGGCCTTAAAGGACAAGTTTAAGCCACATTATTTCGAACTACAGATATCTCCATGTGGGGGAGCAGTTTCTGAAAAGCCAAGGAAACCTGGAAAAAAACAAAACAAAAAAACTAAAATGTTACAGATTACAAATATTATATAAGACCAAAATACATTTTTTTAAAAAAAGGATGAAAAACTGTCCATCAAAGGTCAAAGTCATGAAGAATAGCACCACTGAAGAGCAGGAGGCCAGCCCTGGTCCACATAGTTTTAGGCCAGCCAGGGGAATTTTGATATATCCTGTATTTAAAAAAATAGAATTAGGGTTTTGATTGTGGGTTTGGGTTTTGTTTTGTTTTTTTACTTTCTCCTGTAATTTTCATCCACTGTAAGCCAGTGGGTCTCAAACAGGTCAGGCAACAGAGAATCAGCATTTTCTGGGCACTTGTTAGAAGTCCCAGTTAGAGCCCAGCAATCTGTTTTTACTAGTCCTCCAGATGACTGTGCGTACTAGCTTGAGAATACTATAATTGGTGTTGAATTTTTGAATATTATTGAAATAGTGGTGATTGTGTCTATGACTTATCTATTAGAGTACTATGCACAACAGAATTGAAATGTTAATACCTGAGAGGATACTTTTCCTCAACATGATCCTTCTATTGCTTGAAAATCCATTATCTTCTGTTTCTGCAGAGCTCAGAGTCCAGACAGGGGTTTGTTAAGTCAGCATTCAAGGTATAGCGTTCTCAGTAGTCCTTAACTATAGTAATAACTTGGAAACTTATTGACTGATTTTAATTAATAAGAAAAGGAAGTAAAAAACTCTGTAATTTTAAAACTGTCAATGTATAAAACTGGTATTATAGTTAACGCTTTAAAGTACTTTATTTAAACCATGTGTATCAAAGGAATAGAATGTATTCACACCATGAAATGACTGAAAGTAACTCCTTCTTGGTAGAAGTAATATTTGTGATGATGTTTTTTTTTTATTTTTATTTTACACTAAAGCCTATAGATTATATATATACCTATATGTATATATATGTATATGTGTGTATATATTATATATACCTCTGTGTGTGTATTTGTGTACATACATACAGTTGGTCGGTAATTTAGTTACACGTAATCTTACTTTATATATATCTCCCCAGGAACTGAAGCCCCAGTTTATAGACAGTTTTGAGGTCTCAAGTCTACAGAGCCCTTTCATCTTAGCAGCAGCAAATAGTTAAATAGAACACTATGACCAACATTGTTAGTGCTCAGTTCACATTGAGCATTTTCTGTACACTGGTTGCAAGTCAGTGCAACTTAGACACTGACCCCATTCATTTTACAGGTGTGGGAACATTAAATGAGTGAGTGAGTGAGTGAGTGAGTAGCAGAACCTGGCATGATAGCCAGACCTATGTGGATTATAATCTAAAAGACACAACTCCATGGAAAAGAGTGTTTTCTGATCTTCAATCTGGCATAATACTAACAGCCCATACCACTCAAAGTAAAGTAGTCTTCACTTACTATAAATACCAAACTCTTGGGTATAATATACTCTGCAAACAGTACTTAGTAATGTTTTATTCATAAATTATTTTTAAAGACCTTTTTAGTGTTGATTCAAGGAAAAACCAGACTTTTTTTTACTAGTTTAAAACGAAAACTGTTTCTGTCTTTCAAAAATCTGTTAAAATAAAAACAAGAGTATATAGATTCTTGCTACTTTTACTACTTAAAAAATTGATGAATATAAACCATAAAGAACAATTATTTAATCTTCTGTGTCATTATATAAATGCCAGGTAGTATTTGAACTTGTGGTGTATACTTAGTAGTTAGACAACTTCGAATTATTCTCAGGAAAAACATATGCCTTCAGTAACCTATAATCAAAGTACATACATAGGTCTACCAGAATGTTGAGTTCCATTTTAACCAGCCCTTCTAAAATCCTCTGAATTCTTTTTAGAAGCCCTCCTACACTCTTAAAAACCAGGTGTTAAAATATAAAATTAATAGAAAAAATTCTTCATCTGAATTTTAATGTCTTAAGACCAGCAAAGACAAAACTCGTAATTAACATTGAGAGTTTTAAAGTGTCAGATGTATACCATAAACAAATGATAAATGTTTTTAAAAGTCAGCCATGTACCAAACCCTCACGTAGAAAAGTTAAACCCCTGAGTACTGAACTGCAAGAAAAGACTTGATAAGTTATTTTTCAATTATCACATTTGGTATTGGGTAAAACACAAATGTCTTTTGTGTTATTTTAAGAGTTGGAAGGATGGTTAAATATTTTAGGGTAATTTAATGAAATATTCTAATTTCTTCCAGTGCGTCTGGGGGCGGTGTTGTAGCCATTGACAACAAAATAGAACAAGCAATGGTAAGTAGGTTCACAGCTCTCCTCTCATTTCATGGTTGCGCAGACTGACTGTTCGGAGTGTCTCAGGTCCAGATAACAGAAACTTATTTTCTTTAAGCCAAAAATTACCTTCTTGATAGCAAGATTTAGAAGTTGCTAGAACATTGAAAATTTCTAGTTCTCATGTACTGACTGAATAAATAGTTCTTATATCTGATCACATCATATGTTCTGTGTCACTGTGGAACAGGAGCATACATAATTCAGTACAGTATGTGTTCATCTGAAAAGCATCAGCCTTTGGCCCATTTAAAGTGGGGGCTCTGTAGCACTTCCGTCTCTATAATATAGCCCTGTGGCTAGTTTATTAGCAAGCAGCTTTCCAGGAATAGTACTCCTCTGTTGTCTCTATCCAGCATCTTAAAATGCTCATTCTAAACTCTGGGAGGAAGGAGCACTTCCTATACTAGTTGGGAAAGAGACTTCTTCTACCCCATCTTCCCTAGGCCCAGTCAGGATATAGCAGAAACATTAAAAGCATGAGGAGGAATGTGCTTTTAAAAAACAAAATGTATAAAGCACTTAGTGTTTGTAAGGCACCCAGACAATCTAGAACTAAGTAGCTTCTTGTTTCTCATAACTCTTTTGACATTCCTAATTTTTTTCCCACAGGATCTGGTGAAAAGCCATTTGATGTATGCAGTAAGAGAAGAAGTGGAAGTTCTAAAGGAGCAAATAAAAGAATTAGTGGAAAGAAACTCTTTACTTGAACGAGAAAATGCACTGTTAAAATCTCTTTCAAACAATGATCAGTTGTCTCAACTCCCAGCCCAACAGGCCAATCCTGGTAGCACTTCTCAACAACAAGCAATGATAGCACAGCCTCCTCAGCCAACGCAACCTCCACAGCAGCCGAATGTCTCCTCAGCATAAAGCTTTCTTAAGCCTCATTAAGGAAAAACTGAAAGCAATCTTTCCTTGTGTGCCACTGGTGTTCTTTCCACTTTATAGAAAGCAAGTAGCCATTGCTTCGGCTGTGTGCTTGGCCTTTTCAGTATTAGACAATCGTTCTACAGGAGCTTTCCCTCTCTAAGATGTCATGCAGCACTGTTGATGTCCACTTCTGTGTCATCAGGACATGAGGAGAATGATAGATGGGGTTTATTAAAGCAAGCAGAGTCTGCATTCTACATGTGCGCATGAGTGGGATCTTTAGAAGTTTCGGTGGCTCTCCCATGTTCCTTATCACCCGTGGGTTTACCGTGAGCCTTCCTGTCACATTATAAATAACAGTTCATCTAAAGAGCCACTTTTCTTTCAATATCAGTAACATTTGCCTACGTAAGTTTTCATTTATTTTATGTTTTATTTATTACAGGGCTGCTATTTTCATAATGTACATGAACAATGTCACAGAACTTTTTTAATTTTTTGGATAATTATAAGTATCAGTAAAGGAATTGAAAGACAGGATTACATTTAATAAAATGTTTAGGCAATAATTGAACAAAAGAATCCTGGCACATTTCTAACACTAATGGCAATTTACCGTTGGTATTTATTTTCAATAGTGAAGATCCAGCTTGAATGTAAATTTTGTATAGTGTAAGTATGAAAAACACAGTGCACCTGTACAGGTAGTCACCAGTTATTGTGATATAATAAATAATTGGGCTATTTTCATGAAGAAAACTTTGTTCATTTGTTTCTACTTTCTAATAGAAATTGCCATGATTCCTCTGCTTTTCAACATTTCGTATGACTTTTTTTTTTTTTTTTTGGGTGGGAATAAAAAAGCTGTGAAATTGTTCAACCTACTTTGTAACCAAAGAAGCAAAGCTGTGTAATGGAGTTTTGTTTTGTTTTATAATGCACATTCTTTATGTATTTTTATTTAGTGTTTTCTTGGTCACAATTTTCTTTGCTGTCTAGCATGATCTGCATGGCCTGTAATCTTTGAACCACTTTCGTACCTCATGTTTTATCCAGCACTCTTATTGTACTGTGTACTAGTCTGTGAACAATGTCAAATAAAAAGAGCGAACAGGTCGTATGGTGGAACTGAGCTAGCGTACAATGCACCAGTTGTACAAAAACAAAAATGAAGTGAGCCATCTTTTGTTCATTTAAAATGGTGTTTTGAATTTCATATGCAGAAAACGTTTTGTTACATTGCAGATTTTAATGTATTTAATAAATGCAACATGCAGATTAAGTGCAGTGTATACTGAGTATTTAAATTAAAATGTACATTTCATAAATACAGTTTCAAGAGAAAGCATCATTTTGTGTATACTAACACATTAAGTGTATGTCAGAAATTGATGTAAAAATATATATTTTAACACATTTTCTGAAATTAAACTGCAGTTTTGTTCAAATATTTGGCTCTATATGTGTTCAGAATTTGACTAGATTTGTATTTTCACAGTTTAAAATAATTCCTTAAATGAAAACCCATGATGTTATTAATGACAATGATAGTTCTTAAATTTTCAAAGTAAAATAATTTAAAGAACACAAGAATGGTGAGCAATATTTGTACTCAATATTCATATTATGTTAACAATATAAATAGGAAATCCTCGTCTACCAAAACTTTTACTTGAATTCAGAAAGGTGCCTGTAGAAATTAACATGTCCTGTATGGGTAGCCCACTAATTCAGTCTTAATAAGAAACAGTAGTTAGGTCTCCATGTTAGAAGAGGTTAAATGTTCTTTATCTATTTGAGTCATTCTAGCCTCAAATGAAAGTCATAAAATCGAAACACATGAAATTACCAAATACTTTATATTCTAGTGCTATGGGAAATAATGCTCAGTAAGCAAATTTTTCATGTTAATTAGTAACATTAGAAATACTTGAGAAAGAACTAGATAAGTATGTAGACTTGAGTATGTACTAACAGAGTGAGATTCTAATCGAGCCACCATGGGCACGATAGGGTGTGAACCTGCTGTTGGAATGTGAGCCCTTCCGGTGCCAACAGTGAGGTACCGCATACAAAGAAGAGCTAGAAAAGGTTGCAGGAAGAGACAGATAAATGGCAGACTGCTGCCTAAGAATGCACAAGGTCTCTGATGCCTAGCACAGAAAAAGGAAGAAATTTAGTGTGATGTTTGTGAAGCTAAGAAGTGAGTTTTTATTCTAGGGATAGAAAAGCATCTTATAAACAAAATGTGATAGTAGTCACCAAGGAAATGATTAATATTTTATGGTTTAAAATGGCAACAACAGTTGCCAGTACTCCTATTCTTTAAGGGGGGGAGGGGAATCTTAGAAAATAGTTAACAAAAAACAAAATTGGTTCCAAAAGGCTTAATCTCTAGTAAACTAAGAAATGTAATCAGTTGTGTCATCTTTTAAATAGCAGGAGTTAATGTAGTTTGTAAGGTGGGCTTTCCTGTGTCCTCCAGGATGAAATTTGGCAATGTCTTTTAAGAGCGTTAATATAATATGAATAAGCTAGCTCAGTGGCATGATGCTTAACTCGAGGTGCAGTGTCCAAAAAAACGCAAGTGTGTGCCTGTCCTGTGTGTTCACTCCTTCCCTTAGAACTCAAAAGTTTTATTGATCACCTACTCTGCCCCCTACTTAAGATTGTCAGTGAAGTTTACATCTAAATCTGTTCCCGTTTCCATGAGGCACATTGAACTCGAGTCAGGAACAAAAGGTGGGCAGGGTATTGCACTTTTGTTAGGAAATAATTGAATTTGAATTTCTCCCTAATTGGTTTGTTTAGGATCTTCATTTAGAGCTCTGTTGGGGTTAGAGTCTCCAAATACATAGAATATCAACTAGTTGAAATTCCAGTGTAGGGGCAAGTCTTAGAGGAATATCATCCACCTTTAGCTTTCCCAGTCTCAGCCTACAGAACAGGTGCTACTACAAAAACTGGATGTTGGCTTAGTTTTCTGATACGACGGTGCATGTACAATTGGAACCTAACTTTGCACAAAGAAAATTATTTTTAAGTAGTTTTGATGTAATCTTAAAATGCATCCAGCCAAGCACTCGTCTTTCTTAACTGTTAGATGAAGCTGTTTGGCCCTGGTAACAGGTCCTTTATGATAGATATGTTTAAATTCTCTTCAGAGATTTCTGTTAAAGGGGAAAACCCTGTCCTCAGAATTCACAACTGAGACTACACAAACCAACCAATACAATGATTCGTGAAATACAGTCAAGGATGGATTGCTTTGCTCAGGGCTTTCCTGAAATGTGGCACCTGAGTCTTGAAGGTCCCAAGAGCCAAGAGGAAGAGGGGCATTCCAAACGCAAGAAAAGCCTGGAGAAAGATCCAAGAACATAAACAGGGATCCTAAAGAGCACAGGATTTATGGGAGAGACAAATAATTGCCCCGTCGATGTTGGTAGTTTGAAACTATTGACAAGCACAACTGCTTGGATGGTGGCTAGTGGGATGTGCTCAGTTCAGTCCAGTGGTAGAGTGGCTGATGGGAACTGGAGACAGATGATTGAGAAAATATGACCCGGAAAATGAGAGCATTCCGTGGGCAATTATCCGACGTTTATTGAAGCTGAAAATTCCTCTACCCCTTTCCTATGAATATTCCACTCCCAGTATCCGCACTTTGTTCTCTTTTGTTTCTTTGAGGAAGCAACACCTCAGCCAATACTTGAAAGTTTGTCAGTCTTATGTCCAGGAGCCATGCATCTCTGCAAAACTAACAATATCTTTGCTTCCCATTGAAGGAATTGTGAGAATTTGACAGAAAAGTGAGGCAGACAGGAATTTGGTCACTCTGTGCCTCTGTAAATTCAGCCCAGTGATAAACAATTAAATACTCCGGTGAGTGGGATCACCATAATTCTACAACCTCTTGCTCCCTGAAGAGGTAGTATGAGTTCTGACTCTGATGCCCACGTAAGGATAGGTTTTCCTTAGCTTTGCCTTTCATGCTCTACATAGGTCAGACCCACAGCCTTCTCCCCCACACCCGGTTTTCCCGCCCCCTGCTGTAAGCCCCCTAGTAATTCATGTTTCTGTTTTCTAATGCTAATCACTTCTGGTGTTTACTTGCACCAGTTGGCAAGCTGACCTTCCAAGGTACATCTCTGTCTCGTATTCCCATACCAGGTTACGAATTTCTCCATCTAAATCTCTTCCAATGCACGTCTTCGCTGGTTAAGTGAAGGATGATACAAGTGTGCCCTTTGTGGGCTATCATTGGTCGGCCATGTTCAAATGTAGAAATTGCTTTTAAAAAGTACTATAGAAAGCGATGTAAAGTTCACAGACCTGTACTTTTTCTTTCCTCTGTTTTATTGTCACAAAAAAATACCGGCTGTCTTTTAGAATTGGTGATTGGTGATGGCAAGATAAGCAGTTATTTCTCATTGGCACAGTCCACTTGGACACTGAATCTGTTCAACATGATTGGATAGTGGGTGAGCTTTAGTTTTCTTATCAGGGGAACTGATAAAGTAGGCAGTTTGCATGTTTTCTGACCACCTAGTGTCCTGGATCCAGAGTCCCTGTGTTTACTGACCAGGACCTGCCCACAGAAGCCATAATGTTCCTCTGAAAGAAGGAAGGAAAGGAGGTGTGCTAACTTTAGAAAAATGATTGAAGTTTAAGACGAGCCAAATGACCCCCTTCAGCTTCTCCATAATGAAAGTTGAGGTCACTTGTAGTTCTGACTGTTCGCATGCTTTCATTATTTCTGTAGAACAATTGCAAAGTGCTCTTGCCCACCACAATCCAAAACGTCGTCCAGACCAGTTTCCACTCTTGCTTCATTAGCAATCCGTGCTTCTAGAGCTAAATAAACCTGAAGAAGACAGCAGACGAGGGAGCATCTCCCACACATGGCATATACGATACTAGGCCGGCGTCTAGTTCTAGCTCACTGAGAAAGAAAATTTGCAAATCTCTTGATAAGATAAACATATATACATTTGTCTTACATAAACAAATATACACGCCGAAGTTTGGGGAAATAATGTGGGCTTTATTTTTACTTTTATTTCATAGAAACGTTGGAAAGCAATTTGGTTCTATCTCAACTTAGGTGCTTAACCCTATACTCAATGTTGGAGAACAGAAAGCTGTTTAGGGGATGATCTGTGCCCCCCAAGAACTCATCACCCAATGAGAAAGTAGAAGCTGAGGTACCATGTTGCTCTTCCAGAATAAATACAGTTTATAGACCTCGTGTCCTTTGTTAGCTGAAAGGCTCTGTAAATCAGTAATTTGCTGTGTCTTGTGAAACCCTTTGCCATTGCCAGGAGATCCTAAGTCACCAAAAAGCTTTAGCAAAAAAAAAAAATAATAATAATAATCCTGGAAGACGAGACCAGCAAAAGACTTTGCACACCTATACTGAGCCTGGGAGTCACCCCTAAAAAGGAACTCATCTGAGAGAGAAGTTTACATGTTTTCAATGCTCTCAGTTTGCAGACAATGGGCCTAATTTAACCTAATGGCTGGAATTTACAAGTCATGAATTATATTGTCTCTTGTCTCATAAGTAACATGCATTTTTTTTGGCTGTCTTAACCAGCTGTCATAACTCAGGTACCCGATACCAAAAATAAATCTCTAATAGAACAGAGAATTCAGAGATTAAATACAAGGTTGTCTGTTAGGTAAATGGTAAGCCTTACATTTCAGACGGGGAGGGCGCGGGGGGGTGGGGGCAAGGATGGCTCAGCGGACAGGTAGTATGGAGACTGTAACCTTTGAGAAAGAAGGCAAGCTCAGCTCTCTCACATAAAGTAAAAACGCCAGCTACATTAGAAGTGAGTCTTCTGCTTTGTGAAACTCAAAGGCTTGCTAATGCACGAAAGCAAAGTTTGAAGTCACGAAGAGCTGCTCAGCCTTGGCAAAGCAACGTGCACGTGAAACACACTATCTCAGATCCGTTTGGTGAACATTAGACACGTAAGGGTTAAGAGCTGGCACGTGAGGAAAAACGGGACTCTGGCATCATTCGAGTTTGCACAGCCACTTTGAAAGGCAGATGGGTAATTGAAGTTTTAAATGCCCTGTGACCCAATGGTTCCATTTTTTGTTTTTTAAATATCTGCCCTACAAAACACACCTGTGTTCACAAGGCAGCTTGTTAAAGATTGGAAAAAATCAAAATCCACCAACATAATGGAATATGCTCGATGCTCTAAAATACTAGGTATCGTGACAGAGTGAAGAAATAGCAATGTGTGCTGACAGTAGATGTCTAGGATGCAATGTTAAATTTGTTAAAAGTTTGGGGGGGGGAATACATGTAATACACATGATACTGTTGATGGTTTTTTTAAAAAAAAAAAACATGCCATACACAATACTGTATAGTGTACTTCTGCAAATACCTTTCTGTGTACAATATAAATAAAGAGAAGGTTTGGAAGGGTACTAACCAAGCTGTTTACAGTAGTTTGGTGGCGTGCATTAGCTTAAGCTGTAATAGTTGATGTTTTCGAATCTGCATTCATGTACTGTTTGTGTAATGACAAATTAATAAATTAGAAATAAAATGAAATAGAAAGTGTTTCCTTCTTCTCTACTGCTATCAGCTAATAGCTCCCCCAATGTCCTGGATCTCAGCTTCAGCCTGCCTTCTTAACTGCTGACCCGGGAAAGGTTTCCACCACCGCCGCAGCCCCCCCAACCCCAGCCCCACCCCCACCCAACCCACACACAATGCTTGTATATCCTCCTCTGGATTATTCTGGGAATATATAGTAAATGATAAATAATAAGTAACTGCTCCCTGAACATAGTCTGTTCCTCCCCCGTCTCCTCCAAGCTGCCTCCTTCGCCTTCCCTGCCCTCCTGAGCTGTCATGGCTGCGCTGTCTGACCTTGGCTCCTCAGCACACTGGAGCTGTCCTTGTCCAGGCCACCAGTGCCCCTGTGATGCTAAGTCAACTCCAGCCTTCTTAATGGAGAGCTCTGCCTATTTGCTGCTTATCGTTTAATTGATACGGGATATCATTTTCTGTCTTTCACTTTGAATTTTCCTCACTTGTTAAGTCCTCTTTATTTTTAGGAGTGTCTATTTTAAAGCAGATAGCTGGTTTTTGTTTTTGTTTTTTTTAATGGTCTTAACTCAATCTGTCTTTTAACAAGTAAATTTAATCCATCCCCATGTATCGTCATTGCTGGCGTGTCTGGAGGATTTTTCCCATCTAATTTCGTGTTTTCTCTATGTAACACTTTGAGACCTTCCTCATTTTCTCCACTCTTGGCCTATTCAACTGATAGTTTTTATTAATTGTTTACCCCTTTTGTTGCTGGAAAGCTATACACACCCTGCTCACCACCCTAATGCTCATTTTACCGTTTTCTTCATCACTAATTTGTGGAGATCCCTAACTATATGCAGAAGAAGTAGTCTAGTAAATGCCCATGTAGCCACCACCCAGTTTAAACTGTATCTGCTCATGACCAATCCTATATCTACCAATGTTTCTATTACTTCTATGATCCTCTGGATTATTTTGAAGAGAGCCTAAGATGCCCTAGGCTTCACATTTACTTCAGATGGGGATTCTTTTTGTAACCATACTGTTGCACCACCTCAAAATAAGCAATCCATTTGTCTCACAGGAAATCTAGTCCGTGTTCACATTTCCCTGCTTGTCATATTTTCTTTTATAGTTTTTTTTTAATATGGATCAAAGGAAGGAGTGACTCACATTGTAAGTGGTTGGCATGCCTCTAAATTCCTTCGTCAGGAGGGTCCTTGTTTGTGCTCCAACCCCCCGAAATTCTCTAATAATCTGTGTTATTTTTCTGCAGCTGTTCCTGAAGCTTGACTTTCCCTGGTAGCATTTTTGTAGTCCTCTGTCCCCTGTATTTCTAAATCAGATCTTAAAGTCTAAATATTCACATTCATATTTTGTCAGAATTGGTTCAAATATGATGTTTGTTGTATGCTTATGCCTAATAGCCTCCACTCTGTGCTATTGGCATCGCCGAGAGTCCCTGTGCCCATGAGTTCTGTTACACTTTCTCTCACACTAGTGGGACATGCCTGTAAAGAGAAACTTGTCCTTATCAACTGGCCAGTCACCCTGGTATATAGTCATCAGAAAAAGGCAGGGACTTTATTCCTTCCTTTTACTTCCAGTTTCAAAATAATATATTGAGTTCCTGCAAATGGATAAAAATAAATATGCAAAGAACTGATATCTTGCTCTATGGGAAGATGAAATGAGTTCATTTGCCATGCCAAATCTCAGGTGATTTTTAGAGAGAAGCCAGGAAATAACTAAAGAAAAGTTGAGCCAGGCGGTGGTGGCGCACGCCTTTAATCCCAGCACTCGGGAGGCAGAGGCAGGCAGATCCCTGTGAGTTCGAGGCCAGCCTGGTCTACAAGAGCTAGTTCCAGGACAGGAACCAAAAGCTACAGAGAAACCCTGTCTCGAAAATAAAAAAATAAAGAAAGTTGGTGTTAGAAAACACTGGTCTACGCACTGCCGAGTCAGGGACTGAATAACTTCTCAGTCAGTAGGATTGAAGTAGGATTGCTGTGAGTTGAAGCTCAGCCCAAATTACAGAATGGGGCTCTATCGCAAAAAGAAAAGTAGGGGTGTGTGATGGCTTGGATGAGACGTCCTCCATAGTCTCTGACATTTGATTCCTTGGTCCCCAATTGATGGCACTATTTGGGAAAGCTTAGGACATGGCCTTGCTGAAGGAAGTACATCACTAAGAGCAGCTTTGAGGTTTCAAAAGCCAGGGACCGTTCCCAACTGGGTTTCTCTTAGCTTGCTGCTTGTGGTTCTGAGATATGAGCTCTCAGCTGTTCCTGCCACCTTCCCCTGTTGTCATGGTGATGGACTCTTATCCCTCTGGAGCCCTAATCCCAAAGGACACTGGTTCTTCCTTCTGAGTTGCCTTGCTCATGGTGTTTTGCCACAGCATTAGAGAAGTAGCTAAAACATGATAGGAAGCTCACATCTGGGCACAGCTGGCACTGCTTTGAGAGAAACAGCAATAGACACAAAGCAGGGGGCACTGTCCAAGAAGCTGGGGAGTCACTACACAGACCAGCAGCCCACTTTTACAGGCTTACCTTCTCCCATGTGGTGACTGAGCCACAAAGCTTGCTAAGAAAGGGGCAAATGACCTTCAACGTATGCAAAGTATTTCTAATCAAGGCAACTTTTGCTTAGCAACAACGGTACCCTTGGGCTCTGTTGCCTTGGTGAAGCAGGCCTCCACAAAGACCAAGTTTTCGGCTCTTTGCATTTTCCCCAGACACAAGGAAAGGACTCGGTGTCAGGGCATTAGCTTAATCATGTAGCTTATACACGAACCTAGGTCTGTGTGGTCTTCCTCTCATCCACTTTCCTTAGCTGGCATTGGCTCCCTCTTTCTCAACTCTTCCATCCTGCTCCTCCCCATAGCCAACTGTCACTAAAACGTCACTGAGAAAACCTGAAAAGAAAAGGAGTTCATTTTCAGGTGGACGTTTTCAAGATGGCCCTGTCTTATTCTCTAGAGAGAGTGAACACGTGGCGTTCCAAACCTGTAAGTCTTGGCTTTTTCACTAGTGACCTAACTTCCAGAATCTACCCCCGTTGAGCGGTCAGTAATGGCCATGACCAGGGTGGGGAGGCACAGGCACAGGAGACTGGGTGTCATGTGTGAGACCTACAGATATTTAAAAAGAGCAGCATAGGAATCCTTAGGCAGGAGAGCATCAATGTGTAAAGGCAGAAGCTTAGCATTATGAGATTAAATAAAAGCCCCCTTTGCCCCTTGATAGCCCTCAATAGCACATTGGCCTCAGAATGCATTCTCTAGGATCCTACTTTCAGATTTATAATTGTTTATCCTGACACTGAGTGCTCATATTAATAAGTGAAGATACGCATGAACCTTATCCTTTATTTTCCTTAAGTTTTATGATCATTAAGTAGAGGGGTAATAACTCACAGCCTTGCTGTAGGGATTAAACAATGTAAAATATATAAATCACTTAAGTAGCACATGGCTCCTCATGCCCGCCCTTGCTTTTCATTTTAGCACTTTCTGGGCACCTGGTTAAAGTCAGGATCTTTCTCCTGTCATTTTCTGACCAGAGGCTCTAAAGAAAGACTTGACAATTCACAACCCTTTTGAAAAAAAATCTTTTCAAGGCTTGGGACAGTGAATAAATACTTGCTCATTTGACAAGTGTGGATGGTGTGGGAAGTCCTTCTGTCTATGTGCTTTTATTGGTTAATGAATACAGAAGCTGTTTTGGCCAATGGCTTAGCAGAATAGAGCAAGGTGGGGAAAGCTAAACTGAATGCTGGGAGAAAGAAGGTGGAGTCAGTGAGACACCATGTAGCCGTCAGAGGGGAAAGACACAAGCTGCCATCTGGAACATTGCTGGTAGGCCAGGAGCCTCGTGGTAAAATATAAAATAATAGAAATGTGTTAATTTAATATGTAAGAGCTTGCTAGGAATATGCTATAGTGATTGGCCAAGCAGTGATTTAATTAATACGGTCTCTGTGTGGTTATTTCGGGAGTCTGGATGGCCAGGAAATGAACAAGCAGCCTCCTACAACATGTGGAGATGTGTTCAAGGAGTCTAGCAAGCTTGCCATCTGCCCAAGATCTCAGAGTTGGCCAGTGGTAGAGCTAGATTCTAAGGGACCCGATAGGCCA